TATGTGGAAAAGCGCATCTGACATTATGCCACAGACAGCTTCCTCGGTTAAAAAAGGGAGGAGAGAGAGAGGAGAGAGGAAGAATCAAGCAAAACAGCAGTTGGTATTCACTGTCACAACCAGGAAAGTCAAGGTTGCCTAGCAACAAAACAGAAGAAAAGTGAGGTGTGAGCAGTCTAAAAATTAAACTGAGGAATCTCTTCCTGGAAGTCCAGTTACTATTCAGTTTTGTCCAGTGTTGGTTAGAGCTAGAAAATAAGGTGGCATACACAGCCATTAAGAGCCAGGACCTGTGAGACCCAGGTTGATATCCCCACTTGGTCCTGAACAAAGTTCAAGTTTACTGAATGACCTTGAGCCAGTCACTGAATCTTGGGGTTGCTGTGGGGATTAAGTGAGGAGAGTTACCATAAGTATACCACCTTGAACTCATGGGAGGAAGATAGTAAAGGTAAAGGGAATCCTGACCATTAGGTCCAGTCGTGACCGACTCTGGGGTTGTGGCGCTCATCTTGCTTTATTGGCCGAGGGAGCCAGCGTACAGCTTCCGAGTCATGTGGCCAGCATGACTAAGCCACTTCTGGAGAACCAGAGCAGTGCACGGAAACACCATTTACCTTCCCGCTGGAGTGGTACCTATTTATCTACTTGCACTTGGACGTGCTTTCAAACTGCTAGGTTGGCAGGAGCTGGGACCGAGCAACGGGAGCTCACCCCGTCTCAGGGATTCGAACCGCCGACCTTCTGATCGGCAAGTCCTAGGCTCTGTGGTTTAACCCGCATGAAACTTGGTGAACCAGCATTATGTTTCCCAGTGAATCAGAGAGTGCTCACAAGCTGGACTGGGCTGAAATTCCCGACAGAACGTTGGGGCACATTTTGTAGGGATTGGGAGCAGATCAGAAGGAAAAGGAAACCACAGTCCTTGGAGGACTGGTGAAATCTTTCAACCCCCTCCACTGGGGGGGGGGGCGGGATAAACGAGACAGGACTTAAGTTTTTAATAGTCTGCCATGTTTGTGGGGCAGCCAGATTTCCCCTGAAACCATTTATTTATATTAGATTTCTGAACCTCCCTTTACCAGAAAGTCCCAGTGTGAGTTGCAACAACAAAAGACACAATTCTCAAACTGATGAAATAGTGACAACTATAAAACAAGTGTAAAAACTTTTTTTTAAAAAAAATTTCATATAGAAAACAATTCCATATATAAAAACAATATAAGCATTTAAAAAGAATTCCACCTATATAACAGTTATATATAGTAGTAGTGGTTGTAGTAGTAGAAATAGAATAGAAAATATATTATTAAATATTATAATAAATATATGATACTATTATTAAATATAATAATAAATATAGTTCAATACAGATGCAGACTTGGATAAGATGCCCCTGGAAGTATGCTAATCAAGCCAGCATAATAAATGACCTGAAAAGTTTTTTAAGCCTTATAGCCAGTTAAACACTTAAAGCACACACAGGAAGAAATTTCCAAACTGCTGCCAGAAAGGATCTCTTGTGCCTGCTAACCAGCACTCAGAACTCTAAATAAACTGACTGACAATATATTTGGGAAAAAATAAATCTCTTTCGCTCTTATCTTTCACATGCCATACAAATTGTGCACAATTTCTGAAGCCCTGCTTGCAAGCAAAACTGCATGCTGTGAAAGGATCTGTCACCTGCAGAAGCATGATAGATTTTTCAGAAGAAGACAAACCATCTCTAAAAGCCTACACTTTCAGCCTCGTTCTCGCCCACCCCCTGCACAAACACTGTATTTTTACACGTTAAGGATATGTAGGCTAATTTGCTTTCCATGCTTGCTTTTGAGAGAGTCTGAAGATGTGAGGAACTGCATATTCACCAAGCGAAGATGGTCCAATTAGGAGGACAGTGTTGCAAAGAGCAAGATGCCCAGGTCTGGGTCCTAGAGTCTGCAGTTTGAAACTCTCGGCTGCCTTACATTATGTGGGCATGTGGCCTCTAGGCCTTTATCAAACTGGGGTTTGGAGCTACGGCTGCTGTTTTGCCATAACAACTGCTGTGCCGCCCACACAGATCCTGCTAGCCTCCCTGGAGCAGCAGCAATAAATATGGAGATTCGTTATGCAAGGCATTTTCTGCTATTGCCACCACAGCGCTGTATTGTTTTATTACTACTGCTTGTATATGCCATCTTTTCTCCAAGAAGCTCAAGGAGTCATACTGGGTTCTCCTTTCTGCATAATATCTTTACAACAACCCTGAGAGGGAGGCTGGCCTGAGAAGAGGTCCAAGGGCACCCAGTGAGTTTCATGGCTAAGTGAGGATTTCAGTCCTGGTCTCCCAGCTTCTAGTCCAACATGGTGACCACGAGATCACAAGGGATCTCTCACCAACCCTGCAAGCAAGTTTTTAAAGGTTTTGGGGTTGTTGTTTTTAGCAGGAAGCAGGAGATCCAGGGTCCAATGTCCTTGGGTGTTTGTGTCTGAACTGTTCCTAATACACCAAAATAAAAATTGCCATTTGGCTTACAGATATTCATGCTACAAAGATGGAAGCTCAGGGTGACAGAAGCCGTCCCGGTTTCTGATTTGATCCCAGAATGCCCCGTTTTTCCTTAGGATGTCCCTATTTTCAATAATAATAATAATAATAATAATAATAATAATAATAATAATAATATTTTGTTTATATCCCACCCTCCCCAGCCAAAGCCGGGATCAGAGCGGCTAACAACAGTAAAAATGGCACAGTTTACATAAATTAACAGTCAATTAATTGAAATACATTCTAAAATCAGTTCAGAATCAAATTAATGGCAACCATTGGGCTAGAGTTCTATGAGGATTACAGAATGACCCACTGAGAGTGGGTCAGACTGTGCCTTGGCCAAAGGCCTGGTGGAACAGCTCCATCTTGCAGACCCTGCAGAAAGATGTCAAGTCCCGCAGGGCCCTAGTCTCTTGTGACAGAGTGGTCCACCAGATTGGGGCCACGGCCGAAAAAGCCCTGGCTCTGATTGAGGCCAGCTTAACCTCCCTGTGGCCCGGGATCTCCAATATGTTTTTATTTGAAGACTGTAAGGTCCTCCGTGGGACATACCAGGAGAGGCGATTCCATAGGTACAAGCTTCCTAGGCCATATAAGGATTTAAAGGTTAGAGAAACGTTGGAGGGTATGCAATGGATAACACTGTGTTTTAGATGATGGCCAACGCTATTATTAAATGAAATTGAACAAAATACAAAAGTTATCCATACCTCGTCCCCACATAGGCCCTGGCTTGAGCAGATGCGAAACAAGGACAGACTGACTTCATGTGCAGTGGAGGCAGCAACAGGCATCAATTCTATCAATGCAGAAGAGTTTTTCCCAGCAAGATGCTGCTTGGTTTTGTTGGACTCCAACTCCCATCAGCCCCAGCCAGCTTGGCCAGAGGTCAAGGATGACAAGAGCTGTGGTCCAAGACATTTGGAGGACATTATGTTGCGGAAGGCTGCTATGCAATGAGTGGCGGGTGTGCATGAGGTAAGGAGGAATAACTTTCACGTGCCTTCCAGAACAGTAAGTCTACTGTACTGATGTGTTGCACCAAAACATCTGGAGGGTTCCAGGATGGGGATGTAGAGACTAGAAAGCTGCTACCTCAGCTACCTGTAAAGTCAGCATTTGCACATAACACCGGTCTTTGAAAGATCTACATTGGCTCCCAGTACATTTCCGGGCACAATTCAAAGTGTTGGTGCTGACCTTGAAAGCCCTAAACAGCCTCAGTCCAGTAGACCTGAAGGAGCGTCTCCACCCCCATCGTTCCTCCTGGACACTGAGGTCCAGCTCCGAGGGCCTTCTGGCTGTTCCCTTGCTGCGAGAAGCCAAGTTACAGGAAACCAGGCAGAGGGCCTTCTCAGTAGTGGCACCAGCCCTGTGGAATGCCCTCCCAACAGATGTCAAAGAGAAAAACAACTACCAGACTTTCAGAAGACACCTGAAGGCAGCCCTGTTTAGGGAAGCTTTTAATGTTTGACGCACTATTGTATTTTAATATTTTGTTGGAAGCCGCCCAGAGTGGCTGGAGAAACCCAGACAGATGGACGGGGTATAAATAATAAATTATTATTATTATTATTATTATTATTATTATTATTATTATTATTATCATTATTATACAGCAAACCCTGCCCCTCAACTGCCATGCAATGCAGAAACCATCCAGTTGTTGCAGAAATGGAGTTCGCTTCACTTCCGCCACCTAAAAACAGAGCCTTCTACCCTGCTCTGTACAGACAACAGATCTTACCCTACATTTTCAATAGAATTGTAGAATTGGAAGGGACACCTAGTCCAATGCTCTGCAACACACACAAATTGTCATATGTATGCAGTAGCGTGTGCACTAAAAGCAGCCATACTTTGGACACAATCTTTTTAAGGTTTGCCAGAAAGGCTGCCGGGCACCAGCCTAAGAATTTGGGTACAGGACCCAACAGGATATAACTCTTGTTTCCCTATGTAATGCATGCTGTGCCTTATATATCCTACCATCTCCCTGATAGCCCCAATCATTAATTGTCTCTATAATTGCATCTTCAAACCACTTTACTCCAATTCATTCCAGAGTAATCCCATAAGTGTGGTGTGTAACTTGGTTCACTTCAGCAGAAGACACCAAAGGGCTTTAATGTTTGTTTTTTACTAGAGCTGCAAAATTTAGTCAATTAAAATTAATTTGAAACCTTTTGATCAATTAAAAAAAATATTGCCTCTGTTTTAAAATACAAATCCTTTCTAGTACCATCTTAGAAGAAGCTTCTGTCTTTGGTCTCACTGACACACAAGAGGCTCGTCACATGCATCATCTATTAAAACAAATAAACTATTTTATTTGTATATATTTAATGAATGTGCATCTTTAATTAGAGAACAAATCAAATTGCAGTTAGCCACCAAGCTCGTATAGTAAAAATCCGTTGCATTAAATTCATGAACAGAGATATCTCTCCCCCCTCCTCACCTCTTTTCTGGTTGTGGTAGGAGTGTTAATATGCAGTTTTATTTGCTTGGCAGATACAACCTTCTGTTGTATAACAACATGCTGGATTTGTTGTAAATGTTAACTGTGATGCAGGTCAAGCTCCCTTTTTCATTTTGATTGTCAGTTCTATGTGGCAGCATTCATCTGTAAGATTTCATTTCATGGAAGTTAGTTCTCTGCCAACAAATCTACTTCATGCAGGAAATGTAGGCCTGTTATGTGTGACTGTGATCGTTTTGATCTCGGCTGACCTTTGAACTCAACCTGAATAGGTCATGTATTTATTTATTTATTTTAACAGTCATACTTCATTCTTACAAAGGGCACACACAACAGCTAAAATGTGGCTCTGTCAGTCACTCCCCCCTCTAGGCAGTTTACAAGGCCAATCGAGCCTGTTCAGCTTTTGAATCAAAACCAATTCCTATACATTGACACCATTTGCAGGACGAAACGGCTGTCAGCATCATACAATCCCTAAACAAGCAATAGCTAAGCCCCAAAGGAAGGAGGCTTAACTTAAGGACGTTTTGACCATAATACATAAAACACAGCTGCCATGCTGTGTTTAGCATGGGAATTTCATAATAAGCAGAACTGGTTTTAGCCCATTTCTTTGTACCTGCAGGAATGGGAATTTAACGAATGAGGATGCTGATTTGGGACTACCAGACTGTCTGAACCAGCAATGATACCATGGGAACCAGCAGTGATACTGTGGGTGGGTCCCCAGATCCTGTCCCCACTGATGCTTCAGCTTTGTCAATCATGGTTCAACTTTGTTGCTCCCCCTTCCTCAACGGTCTCTTCCAACTCCACATTTCTGTGATGTCCTACATGGGTGTCCCACTCTGATAGCTAGCTACAGGGCAGTCATGCAGGGTCTGCGACACCAGAGCAGAAGTACAGGTTGTTGTTGTTTAGTCGTTTAGTCGTGTCCAACTTTTCATGACCCCATGGACCAGAGCATGCCAGGCACTCCTGTCTTCCACTGCCTCCTGCAGTTTGGTCAAACTCATGCTGGTAGCATCGAGAACACTGTCCAACCATCTCAACCTCTGTCGTCCCCTTCTCCTTGTGCCCTCAATCCTTCCCAACATCAGGGTCTTTTCCAGGGCGTTTTCTCTTCTCGTGAGGTGGCCAAAGTATTGGAGTCTCAGCTTCCAGTGAGCACTCAGGGCTGATTTCCTTCAGACTGGAGAGGTTTGATCTTCTTGCTGTCCATGGGACTCTCAAGAGTCTCCTCCAGCACCATAATTCAAAAGCATCAATTTTTTGGCGATCAGCCTTCTTTATGGTCCAGCTCTCACTTCCATACATCACTACTGGGAAAACCATAGCTTTAACTATGTGGACCCTTGTCGGCAAGTTGATGTCTCTGCTTTTTAAGATGTTGTCTAGGTTTGTCATCACTTTTCTCCCAAGAAGCAGGCATCTTTTAATTTCATGCACCATCTTCATGCAGTGATCATGGAGCCCAAGAAAGTAAAATCTCTCACTGCCTCAATTTCTTCCCCTTCTATTTTCCAGAAGTACAGGTACTATCTGTTAAATAAACTTCAGGTTTTCTGGGAAGCCACGAGTAAAGACAAAGTCAACACTACGATATGGCAGTAGTAATCACATTGGTCTCTATTCATGGATTACTTGCTCAAGCAATACCAGGATTCCATACATAGGAACACACAGGGGGAGATACATTGTTCGACCTGCACATATTCCCCTCTTACTGTTCTTTTTTTCCTGTGATTCACATCATCCTTTAGCATTTCCACAGCGCTCAAAACAGAGGCATTTAATAAACATGTTTTGGTACACTGCACCTTCCTTTATATTTAACACATTTTTCATTATGCCAACAATTAATTTGGCTTTCTGCAAAGCTTCAGTGGGAATTCAATTATAGAGCATTAGAAAATTATAAAGCATAAAAGCACCACTGTGTAATTAACTACCTTGGGGGGGTGCATATATTTGGACAAAAAGTATAGTGGCTACTGGAAATCAGATAGCTGAACATGGGATAAGTCAAGCCACAAAGTAGAGCTATGATTCTGTAAAAGCTACTTGGTAGGAGCAAATGCAAAAATGTATTTGAATTTGTATGTAAGTTGTTGCTTGGATTTCCTTGTTTAAAATTTATGTTTTATTGCTGCAGTATTTCTGTCACAAGTGAATTGCCGGCAAACGTTAAAACAGGCGAGGGCCCCTGAACAGCTTCGGCCCAGTATTCCTGAAGGATCGTCTCCACCCCCATCATTCTACCTGTAGGGATATCGCGGAGTAGGGAGTGGGGTCCGGAGGGATAACACTTCCCCACCAGCAGGCAGTCACAGTCTGCCTGCACTCGTGACCCTGGGGTGCGGGGTACACCCCCCCCCAGACAAGCCACAGCTGTCTGGAACATCGTTCCCTCAGTCTAATCTTTTGCGGTCTCAGTAGTCAGCGGTGTCCTGTCTGTAACTTTTGTCCCTGAGACCTTTTGTCTCCTTCGTCATACACTGTGCAAGGGGAAAATGACGCGGTGGAAACAGGTGCCAAAATAACTTTGTACCACCCCACGATCTCGGGACGGAAGATATGTAAAGGTCACAGCCCAAAAATGTATCTGCCTGGCTTGCATATTTGTCTCAATAAAAGGAGGCTCTACAGGACTGGCCGCAGCTCGCTTCAGCCCACCTGTGCGCAGCTCACATGATGATCAACACCTGTCTTGTGCCTTCACTTCACTACCCAGACACAGAGGTCCAGCGCTGAGGGCCTTCTTGCGGTTCCCTCATTGTGAGAAGTGAGGTTACAGGGAACCAGATAGAGGGCCTTCTCAGTAGTGGCGCCTGCCCTGTGGAATGCCCTCCCACCAGATGTCAAGGAAGTAAACAACTATCCTATTTTTAAAAGACTTCTGAAGGCAGCCCTGTTTAGGGAAGTTTTTAATATTTAATGCTATATTGTTTTCAACACTTGATTGGGAGCTGCCAAGAGTGGCTGGGGAAAATTCAGCCAGATGGGCAGAGTATAATTAATAAATTATTATTATTATTATTGCAGTCCCCACACACAATCAAGATAGCATTACCCCCACCGGAATAGCATGTGGGAAACTCAGCAGGGAGCAAAGCACAACTAGAGCTTGTACTTTCTATTGGCACCGGTATTGCAAAGCAGTCCAGATTTATAGGGTGCCAAAATGAGTGTCAATGGGATAATGATGCACAATGCAAGAAGCATTGTGCAAATTCTAGTTTAAGCACAGAAACCACTGGCTAAGAGGAACACCTCTCCCTTGCCACATAGCCTGCAGGTTGGGCAGCAACTGGAGGAGAAGGAAGGAGGTGGCACTTTCCAGTGCTTCATTTCTGGGCTCAGGGCTTGAGGCTCTCATGACTGCAAGTGTAGCTTAGTAGGCATTGTAAGATTTCAAGCAAGAAATCAGCCTCTATAAGGTCTGTACAGGGTTGACTTGGGGTCGGGGTAGCGCTGTGGTCTAAACCACAGATCAGAAGGTCAGCGGTTCGAATCCCCGCAACGGGGTGAGCTCCCGTTGCTCAGTCCCAGCTCCTGCCCACCTAGCAGTTTGAAAGCACGTCAAAGTGCAAGTAGATAAATAGGTAAACGGGAAGGTAAACGCCGTTTCCTAAACACGAGCTCACCTCGTAGCGGAGATTCGAACCACCGACCTTCTGATCAGCAAGTCCTAGGCTCTGTGGTTTAACCCACAGCGCCACCCGCGTCCTTTCAAACAACAGGGTATATAAATAATAAAATTATTATCTGTCTTGAAATTGGAGAGGGGGCGTTGTTCTAGTTAGCCAGGCTGGTTTTTCTGTGCAATTCTACTTTGGGGTATTGAACCTCTGTACATGCGCATCCTCCGTTCTTTTTCTCTGTGTTAATTGTATTTAGTAAAGCTCTTGCCTACTTTTACACCTAACAGCCAAAAGTGAGACTCATCCAGAGCCATCAGCAAACTTGGCCAAAAGGCTGGGGCTGCTGAAAGTTGGAGGCCAACAGCTGTAGCGATCCCCCATCTCCATTTCATATACCAGGCTGATGCCTCTGAGAAAGGACTAAGCCTTTAAATATTGAAGGAACATCATTTCCCCCTCCCAATAGGACACATTAGCAGAAAAAAATAAAAATAAAAGAGCTTCATTTGCAGAAGAATAGCAGGCTCTGATCCCCCAAGTGAAGGTTGGATGCTGTCCATTGGCAGCTGGTGCTGATCTAATCAAGCACCATAGCAGCAGCGTATAGTTCTCTTCATGACTAACTATTCTACCCATGCTACATTCCAAAACAAACATTGCTGTCACTGCTGTGCAACCGGCTGGAAAAGAGGGAAATGACCATGCAACTCTTTCTGAACTCACGTAGCTCACTAATGAACAGGTAGTTGTTATGGAACATCTAACTGGACACCATCTGAGAAGTGGAGACCAACACTAACTAAACATAAATTACACTAGAAAACATTTCTTGCTCATTAATTTTTTTAGCTGCTTCTCATATTGTCAATGGTGGTTTGACATTCTGCATAGGCTTTACCAAACAATTCCACTTGTGACCCCATCCCTGATCCCTTGACATCCAAACACTGCTATTAGACTAATTATCAGCTGGGATCTTAAAGGTAACAGCGAGTGAATCACCAAAGCTTCAGGGATTATTATCTTTACTAGTGGAAAATGCTAAAAAGAAATGAGTCTTGCTTGATGTAACAAAGGCTGGCAGCAGAACGATTCCTTCTAAATAATTTGTGGCTCAGAGAGTAGCAGCAACGGCACAGAATAAAGTTTGGGTATCTTGAGCGGCAATGAGAATAGCACAGCTCCTGAAATGCTCCTTATACGGCTGACAGTCAAATGGCGAGAGCTTAATAAAACTGCTCTATAGTGGAGACAGGAGCAAGCCATCATTTCTTGGAACTGTTTGCAACTGTTTGAAAGCTCAGCTTCGAAAAACTCTGGCAAACCACTCTAAACTCAGAGGCTCTCAGGAACATATAATGGAAACATGGACCACTGCCACTATGGTTCATTATGGAATAATGGACGGCACTGCAATGCAAACACATTCTAGTAGGTCTTCCAGGAGGTTCAAGATTCTTAGTTCCATAGCAAGTGCTCTCTAATGCCAAACTCCAG